TTATCACAACGTTTCGGCCGTTGTACGTTCCGATCTTCTTCAGGTGGTTGGATGTCGAACTGAACCCTTTATTTCACTCGCTGTGGTAGACTGTTCTAGTTCCACGTGTCATGTCTATTGGATGTCAGTTATCAGTTATCTCCTGTTAATTCACGTTTCCAAGTTCTCCACTGCCTTAACCAGGTATTGAACTCACAACTGTTTGGGTCCTGTCACTTGATCTAACCAACGCCTTTATTCACTGTGCCATGTGTCGGAGCGTACAACGGCCGAAACGTTGTGATAAATATGGCAACAGAGATTAAGACAATAGTCCGAGTAATGTAAATAGTGTACATAATACCTCATCTCTGAAATGTAGACAGATATATTTGACATGTGTGATGTCATGCTCTAGTGTGACAATGGAGTATTGCACAGAAAGAGACATTGTGGTGGTAGATAAAGAAGAAAGAACATGCATTATCATAGATAATGTATGTACCGGAGATGATAGTTTTTACCTGTTACCATAGTTTCAAATGTCACGTGTACAAACTGATCAGTGACGAGTGTGGAAATCATTCCGATTATTTTCGGTGCTCTAAGTACCATAAGTACTGAACTCCCGGGCTGGCTGAAGATTGGGGGTTCAGTGTCAAGATTGGACACTGGTAGAAAACTGCACCTCTTGACACTCTTCGCATACACCATAGATTTTTTTTTTGTGAATCCTCATCAAATGTGCCACTATTTAATTGGTTATTGACAGCTGGTGTATTGACTCCATTTTCAGCAAAAATTGTTACATTTTTCTTTGTGTAGATTGAGTTGCCCACGAAGTTTCAACCAGAATCTTCAAGAAACAAGATTTGTTTTTCGTACCAGAAGATGTAAACAGATGAGGCGATATGCAGTTGGAGAGCAAAAGTATAATTGTGGTCACTGCATGAAGAAAGACCTCCGCAAGATATGAAAAGTGCCCATTAGTTTTGCAATTCATATATTTTAAGGCTTCCATGATGTTTCATCCTTCTGATCTCCTTTTCAAGGAGCCAATAACAACAAATATTGTTGTTCTGAGATATTACATTCTACTGATTCCTATTTCAAGCTTCTCTTATATATTTAGTTTCTATTCTTTAATTATTATTTATTTACTTTCTGTTTATTTGTATTAATCAGTATCAGCCCATGCAAGGCAATAAAGCCACTAAGACACAAGGGGTTACATTGAGGAACAAAAATATTAATGAGCGGGAAGAGTAATCAGGACAGTATTTATGAATACAAAAATAATGTTAACAAATAAAAAGTCAAGTGGGGGAAGAATAAATCTTATTTTTACGTGTATCATTGTTACTGATAATGTGATATTAGGGTGGAAATAATGATTTTTGCGTGTATCATTGTCACTGATAATGTGTGATATTATTAGGCTGAAAATAATGATTTTTGCGTGTATCATTGTCACTGATAATGTGTGATATTATTAGGCTGAAAATAATGATTTTTGCGTGTATCATTGTCACTGATAATGTGTGATATTATTAGGCTGAAAATAATGATTTTTTGCGTGTATCATTGTCACTGATAATGTGTGATATTATTAGGCTGAAAATAATGATTTTTGCGTGTATCATTGTCACTGATAATGTGTGATATTATTAGGCTGAAAATAATGATTTTTGCGTGTATCATTGTCACTGATAATGTGTGATATTATTAGGCTGAAAATAATGATTTTTGCGTGTATCATTGTCACTGATAATGTGTGATATTATTAGGCTGAAAATAATGATTTTTGCGTGTATCATTGTCACTGATAATGTGTGATATTATTAGGCTGAAAATAATGATTTTGCGTGTATCATTGTCACTGATAATGTGTGATATTATTAGGCTGAAAATAATGATTTTTGCGTGTATCATTGTCACTGATAATGTGTGATATTATTAGGCTGAAAATAATGATTTTTGTGTATCATTGTATCATTGTCACTGATAATGATAATGTGATATTATTAGGCTGAAAATAATGATTTTTGCGTGTATCATTGTCACTGATAATGTGTGATATTATTAGGCTGAAAATAATGACTTCATGACATAGAAGACAGGATAAACGAAAATTCAAAAGAAAATTTATAAAAATTAAATCACTATTAACGTTACTAATGATCATGATGAACTGAAAGGTTGACCTCTTCGTATTTTTACCGACGTGTGCTGACAGCTACCGCAATATTTTCTAAAAGTTTCTTCCCCACCCAGACTTCAAGGGCGCCATTCGGTCTTTTTAAATTAACTTGTAAGAGGTGATTGCACAAAATGTCAACGTTTGTTGTTTGTTGTTGTTTTTTGTTATTTTTTGGTTTTTGTTGTTTTTTGGTTTGTGTTTTTTTTTTTGTTTTTTTTAGGGTATTTTTAACTTCAATTTTATACAAGTCATTTGTTATTCTTCGAGTCTTTCCTGTTTCCAGCTTTTTCCTCTTTCATTTCTTTTCTATTTTTTTTTCTCTTCCTTTACTTGTCACTCTCACCTCGATTCCTTACATTTTCCTGTTCCCCTTGTTAACCACTTCATTATTTTTCTCTTTTTGAAACATTTCGAGGTCACGATAATTACAGACATTTAGGTTAAGATTAAATTTAAACATTAAAAAAATTAAAAAAAATATTAGCTAAGAAATCATTTTTTGTTCTGTATGTTTTTTTGTTGGTTTTTTTCTTTGTATGGTTTTTGAATGTTTTTTGGCTTCAGTAGACTCCTCCACGAAAATCTAAACCATAAACCCTGAAGCATAAGAAATAATAGAAATAATATTACCTTCGAAGCATAAGAAGTATTACCTTCGAAGCATAAGAATTATCAATTCCCACTGGAAAATTGCGGTTTGGTGGTGACTAACAAAATATATAAAACAAAAAAGCCCCCAGATGCTGTAATCAATATCGTTGTTATATTTTTCTTTCCAGCGCATAATGTTGATTGATGTTAAAACGTTTATTTTCAAGTCTCTTTGAGTCTATTATCAAGATGGTTTATGAACATCTCAACTGAGTGACAAACAGTATGGATTTTGCTCTGATATATTCAATGTTGACGTTCCAACTGTCATTATTCACAGAAACAGTGAGACACTAAACAATAAACTCATCATGTGGATGATTGCCTGAGATATATGAAAGACTTTTGATAAATCATGGCATAAGGGATTGCTGCGCAAACTCGCCACTTATGGGAAATCTGGAATGTTTTTCTTAATTATCAAGACCTGCCTATCATGTAGGTCTATGAAGGCCGTCATTAGTGATTAGTCTTCGGGCGCCCATGAAATAAATGCAGGCGCTCCCCCAGGCTCTCTTCTCGGTCCCTACCTCTTTCGACTTCATATAAACGATCTGCCTGAGAGCATACCCACCGATCTTTAGGGAATATCTATACAGATGATACAACAATGTATGAGCGTACCTCCAAAAACTGAGATGACCATTGGCTGGCAGCTGATTTCTCCTCTGAGCTAGGCCTGGGGTGGGGGGAACAACGAAGGAAGGTGTGGCTTGTAACATTCAATACCGCCCAAATGGGCGAGACCATGAGACCCAGGTTCGAATCTCATCATGATCGATTAATCAGGAAGGTGACTTCTCGGTGTCACCGTCCTGAGCTGGCGATCCTAGCTTACGTCACCTTTGGAAAGTGCCTGAAAAACCATAACACTGTGAAATTGGGTAGGCAGAACTATTTGGAAGCTGTCGATTGTTGTTCTAGTACGAAGTCACAAGTCATCGTGGCCGAGGCTTTGAGTGTACTGGCCTCGTTTAGAGTGTTGATCACGCCAGATAATACACTCTTTCTCAGAAACTGTAACTAAGGTTCGCCCAGCGTAGTAGCAGCATAAGCCACAAGTGTGCCGTGTGGATATTCAACAACGACCAATTTGCCTGAGCAAGCGTCTGCAACAAGAATTGGCCACTACAAAACTCAAACCAATTGTTGTAATGGAATGTCCCACATTCCCTATCACCTATGTGGACTGACTATATCAGTAGCTATATATAGTGAGCACAGGATATACCTTAAGGTTTAAAATGGATTATTCCTGACATATATGGGCAAGAACTACCATGTTCTTACGTTTCAGTCTCGTGGGGGACAAGTTTTCCGCCCTCCAACACCAGACGAAACGTCGCAAGCCTCTCTCTACTCTATCGCTATTTCCATGGCAAATGTTCAGACGAACTATATTCCTTAGCTTCACCAGTTCTAACCTTTACAACTAAGACCCGCCATACCACATACGATGGAACGAATCATCTCCGGCTTATTCCATTGGTTAAAAGGATTATTCCACACTGGAACGCAGTGGGTTACAGGGAGTGAAAAATGATTAAGAAAAAAAAAATTGGGAGGATTTAGGAAAGGGCAAAAAAGGAGCAGTCTTCAAGAAAATAACGATTGACTTTGCATTTAAAATTTTGAAGATTATCGTTATCAGAGAAGCAAGAAATCGGGAGGGAGTTCCACAGGTAAGAAGTGCGTGGGGAAAAACTGCTGGAGTAGATATAAAGATTGTATCTAGTTAGTTCAACAGTAAAATGGTGAGACCTACTTGCCAATCTAGTAGCACGCTTAAATTAAATACCGCTTCTTTGTAATGGATGTTTTTCTTGCTGACTATCCGCTTAACCCATCCCAACCATTAACTTTTCTAGATGTCCTCAGAGAACGCACGCACTTACATCTTCCTCCCTAGGCTCGTACAACAACCTCATTCAGTAACCATCTACCTTGATTGGTTGATTTTGTTTAGCGGCATATCAAAATCTGTGGGTTACTTAATGCCGAAATCGAAATATTTTATGCATAATTTTATACTTTCAGGGTAAAATGTATTTTTAAATATACAGTTTGTAAATCATAAAATATATTAGTGGTAATTTCACTACAAACATGTATTGTTGGTAATTTTTAATAAAAAATGTATTGTTGGTAATTTTACTATAAAAATGTACAGTTCGGTTTTCCCTGCCGCCCTCTTTGGTTCTCCTCTGCGGTTTTTTTCCCTTCCGCCCTCTTTGGTTCTCCTCCCCTTCCGCCCTCTTTGGTTCTCCTCCCCTTCCGCCCTCTTTGGTTCTCCTCCCCTTCCGCCCTCTTTGGTTCTCCTCCCCTTCCGCCCTCTTTGGTTCTCCTCCCCTTCCGCCCTCTTTGGTTCTCCTCCTCTTCCGCCCTCTTTGGTTCTCCTCTGCGGTTTTTTTTCCCTGCCGCCCTCTTTTGTTCTCCTCTGCGGTTTTTTTTTTCCCTGCCGCCCTTTTTGTTCTCCTCTGCGGTTTTTTTTTTTCCCTGCCGCCCTCTTTTTGTTCTCCTCTGCGGTTTTTTTTTTTCCCTGCCGCCCTCTTTTTGTTCTCCTCTGCGGTTTTTTTTTTTTCCCTGCCGCCCTCTTTTTGTTCTCCTCTGCGGTTTTTTTTTTTTCCCTGCCGCCCCTCTTTTGTTCTCCTCTGTTTTTTTTTTTTCCCTGCCGCCCTCTTTTGTTCTCCTCTGCGGTTTTTTTTTTCCCTGCCGCCCTCTTTTGTTCTCCTCTGCGGTTTTTTTTTTCCCTGCCGCCCTCTTTTGTTCTCCTCTGCGGTTTTTTTTTCCCTGCCGCCCTCTTTGGTTCTCCTCTGCGGTTTTCCTCGTCGCTTCTCCTTGTCGCTTCTCCTTGTCGCTTTCGTCGATTCTCATCGCTTCCCTTTTAACCCTCGCCAGTTTTCACACTTTTTCTCATCTTCTCTTCTAATTATTCTTTTTCATTCTGCTGTTTTTATTCGTCATTTTTCTCTTTTTCTAATTATCGTCATTTCTCTTTTGATTCTTTCTCATTTTCCTTTTACCTTCTTCTTCTTCTTCCACTCTTTTTCTATTACCCAAATTCCTATAACCGTTCTTAGTTTTAACAGCACCGCCATCACCATCATTTCGGAGCTATCTTATTTCTTTATTTATTTATTTTACCAGCCCAAACGCCGCCAGCGGGCGTTGGGGATTTTCGTAATTGAAATTACGAAGATGAAAACGAGACGCCGAATCGTAGTTAACGTAGGTATCTCCACGAAATTGCGAAAAAATAGAGCATAGTCTGATGAAAAAGACGCCAAAATTGACGAAAACAAAATTTTATCGTCAAAATGCTTATGTTTTTATGAAGAGGATAGACCAAATTTTTTTTTAATTATTTTTCAAAATTTTTCCATATTTTTAGAATATTCTAAATTTTGATTTAAAAAACCTTGTTTATCTTTTTCGCAACAAAGGGAGGTAAATAACATAGATAAATTTTAGCGCGTTTTTTTGGTATTTATATCTATTAATTTGGAAAATTTTGTAAAAATAAAAATAATTGTCAGATGTTAATGAAACTTTCAGAAAATATTCACAAATGATCGAAATTATTATGAATATGTTTTTTTTTTATTAAAGTCATGGCAGAAATATTTTTTTTTTTATTTTTATTAACACCCCCATATCTAATTTTATGAAAAACTCAAAAAATTCCATACCATCGGGTTTTAGTGATTACAATATTTAAAGCACAAGGCTTTGAAGAATGTAAATCATATTTTTTTTTTTTTTTTAAGAAACTCAGTACCTGAAAATCAGCTCTGAATTGTAACATACAAAACTCAATAACAACAAATATACTATTTAATCTCAAACGCTTTTATTTGTTTTTATTTGTTCGTATGAATATGGACAATATTTTCTGAAAGCAAAAAAATTTTTCAATGAAAATTGAATTTTAATACAATTATTTCTCATTTCTTTAATTTTAAATCGAAATTTTAACACTTTTTCATTACACTTTAAAAAAATTATAAAAATAAATAACAGCACCATCAACCTTTGTACTTCTCATTCTTAGCTCGTCATTGTCTAGGGATTTGAAAATTGTATAATTTGGACCCATCCGATGACACCCACTAATGAAAAAATGTAATTATGTTTTGATAAAAAGCGCTTAAATGGGTTGTCATTAAAAAGTACGGAAGGTCACGTGGCTTGAGTGTAAGCGTAGATTTCATTATTTATAGTATTTATTCTCTAGTGTTACGTGTTGATAATTGTAACAAAGGAAAAAAATGATTTACCACAACACAGAGCTAAATCACAAACAAATATTTAATTTACTAAAACAGAACATAAAATATATACAGGATAAACAATTGTAGCCTACAAAACAGAAAACACAGAGTTACTGGCGAAGTGTTACGAGGGAGAAGGAAAGGGAATCAAATATCTTTATCACTTTAGGGCTAGTGAAGTAATCTAAGTGCTATATTTGGAAATCCACAAAGGTGTGTAAATAAATATTAATTTTTAGTTTGGTCAATGAAAATTAGTCAAAATTCTATTTACCAACTTTGTTCCATGAAATTCTCTTTTGGGTTTTGGTTGGTCGGCAACTTTTTATAGAGATTCTTTCGGCTGGATATAATTAATAGTCCTTGAATCAAAAGCCGGAGTTGATACTGACAGCATTGACAACCCTTTTCCAAAATGGGGCTAACACCTAATTTGCATATTTCTAAATTTTTCTCGAATATACTAGAATGATCTAGAATCTTCCAAACATTCTATTTCTAATTTCTCTATTTTACAACTACTTCATGAGTGAAAACTTTTTTGTAATAACAAGTAGAACTCAAAGGAATCCCTTTATTATAGAAATGCATCCTCGTAACAATAGATAGTATCAACAAAGTTATGTTTTAAGTTCCAGTAATAATAAAATAACAAAATAAAGGAAATTGGAATGCTAATTTTTTGTTTTTATTATCTACTAATTACGGGGTAGTACATAAGCTGATTCACACAAAAAAAAAAAAAAACGTTACGTCACGTATGACCATCTGTATGATAACGCGAATCTCACGTGAGCTGTCGATATGTGATGACAGGTATCACTTGTCACTCGAGAAATGACAACACAGTTCAGATCGCTTACTTTTTATTTCGAACAATTTTTTATTCGGAAAAAAGTAAGTAAAAGCTTCTTTCAAAATATTTTAAATAATCTTTAAATTTGCTAATTTTAGTCAAATAAATTTTGAAAAACGTAGAATTGATTTTTGGAATAATTATAAACAAGGATTTTAACTTGTTTACAAAATTAGAAAAAAATGGCTGATAGCTACTTTTTTTAAGTAATTTTGATGACAGAAATAAACAACTTTTTTAAATAAAATTTCGGACCTGATAAGAATGAGTAAAAAATTTTTAAAAATAATCAAAAAATACTTTGGTGTTTCTTCTTAAGAATGATATATATATTTAAGCCGATAAAAATTTATTACATCGTTTTTTTTCATGCTATATGTTTTTTGTAGCAATTTCGTGGAGATACCTAAGTTAACGACAAATGCCAGCCAGCTGATTGGATTTCTTTCCGAGCAACCAGGCGTCTCTATAGGTGATCATTGTAATGATTTAAAACTCATCCGCTTACAACAGATCGATCAAGAAACATTTCGAAAAAATTTCATTTATTTTGTTCTGCCAACTTGGGAAATTTTATTTTATATATTTATTTTTTCGGGCATATATTTTTTTACCTCTCTTAGCGAGAGAGCCTCTTGATTTTGTCCAAGGGCAGAATACAGCGGCTTCTCTTTTTTGAAGTGTTGGACGGGTCCTACTAACATCAGTTATGTTTATTTTTAGTTTGTTTTGGGGTTCACCCCTCCCTTTCATGATCATTCATCTAATTTGTAGATATAAATTGTAAATAATATTTATCTTCTCATTGGGATGTTTGTTTGATTTTGGGGTTTTTTTGGTTTATTTTTTTTAACTCCCCAATCTGAGGGGATGTGGTATTATGGAGGATTGATTGACGATGGATGATTTTTAATGGTGAATGAAGAAATTGTAACTAGTGAACGGGTCAGGAATCCGATTAGCTAGGTCTAAGATATTGAAGACCAGCCTCAACTCATTCCCCCGTTTTCGGCCTTGTATTAATTTACAATAAATCTCAACCAATATAACGAAAAGGCGTTTCTGATCATGCATTTCTAAAAGACTATGTTGCACCAAATTTAAAAGAAAACTGTTACCACATATAGCATTCATAGTTTGCCATTTATCTTAAATCAAACTAACTACCAATTTCTCCATCAATGAACAAAAACTAAGTAAAAATACGCAGTCGTTATTTATCAGTTGGTCACCTGTCGCTTCGCTGACGGCAAGATTTCAAGTCTAAATTGTTTATTTTACACTTAAGATATTACATAATTTACATTATTCGGACAATCCTCATCTTTGTCGCCATATTTATTACAACGTTTCGGCCGTTGTACGCTCCGGCCTTCTTCAGGTGGTTGGAATGTCGAACTGAACCCTTTATTTCGCTCACTGGGCCATGTTTTAATGGATATCAGTTATCTCTTGTTAGTTTGCCTTTGAAAGTTCTCCACTGCCTTAACCGGGTATTGAACTCACGACTCTTTGGTTCTTGACACATGGCACAATGGATAAAGACGTTGGTTAGATCCAGGAGTTCAATACCTGATTAAGGCGGTGGAGAACTTTGAGAGGGGAATTAACAGGAGATAACTGACATTCATTAGACATGGCACGTGGAACTAGAACAGTCTACCCTAGTGAGCGAAATAAAGGTTTCAGTTCCAATCACCTGAAAAAGGCCGGAGTGTACAACGGCCGAAACTTTGTAATAAATATGGCGACAAAGATGAGGACAATAGTCCGAATTATGTAAATAGTTTACACTCACCTCAGAAATATATACAAATACTAAAATATTACATTTATTAGAAATATATTCGGTTTAAATACAGGAAAAGCCGTAAGAATTATTCAAAGGCCCACATACACTCTTTTCCTGTTAACCAGGGGTTGTTGTTAGAGAAAAATTAGCCCTTGCGACAGGAGCATTTTAAATTCATTCAAAATATGTTTGTATGTACGTTTGCTAGTGCATATGTGTACTATTAATTAATGACAGACTTAGAAATATTTCAACAAAATTGAAGAAAACATTTCAAACTGAAATTATTTATTACGGAATAATTTCCGAAAAGTTCTTAAAACAAAAAATCGGCATAAAAACAGCAAATATAGTCGCATGTCTTTCACTAGCGGGAGTTGACTTTAGACCCTATGTAAAAGCATAATTTTTAAATATAGGGAAAGGGAACAGACCAAGATGATATGGGAGAGGGTTTTTATTTTTTATTTTATTTATTTATTTTATTTTTTTAAGGGACAACGTAAGGTGGAGGAATTGGGCCGAAAACTAGCTGATGCTAGTGAAATGTGTATGTGGAGTGATAAACTGAGATCCTCTGCCCTCTAAGACACACCTTTCTTTGTACAAGATTAATCCCAATCCTGTCCGCCGCCACCAAAAAAAAAAAAAAAAAATGGCTATGATGATTCTTCAAGCCAAACGCAATTAGCCCCGCAGACGAGTATCCTCGTCCAATGAGATTTACCAGCACATCTTTGCACCACATAAAACTGAATATAATCAAAATATCGATGTGGCTACCTCTCTGGGAAGCAATAATTAGTAATAATCTCACAGAATCTACCCTTTTTCCTGTTTTTTAAAGTTTAAGTCGTGTGTCTAGGTGAACTTAATAAATAAATAAAAAAACTCTGCTATAGAGCAGTAATTAGCGTTGACAAATCTCAGATTATTTAATAACCATTACGGAAGACGATTAGGTTACTTCTGAAGTGTCTTATTTGTGTCATTTTCCTGTTTATACCATG